TGTCTCCAATGGGGAGAAAATCAGGGTATAAATACCTACATACACATCTTTTCCAACATGGATATTATTTCTGCACAGGAACAACACTGTCTGTGTGAAAGCAACTTAAAAGCCAAGCTAAGCAGGAAACATGTTGAAAGTTCTCTCATTAATAAGGATGTGAAAGTTACTTAAATCACAAAATGTGGTTCTTGAAAGCCTCAATGCAAATCATATGTAACTTGAGAAACCATGTCCACTGTGTTTTGTACCACTTCTTCTTCGGGCTTAAAAACCTGAACAGAGAAAGCCCTATTCTTCCTGTATGCAACATAAACCAGCCACGGACAGTATTCTTTGGCTGACCCCTGAGACAATAATTATAATTATATGGTAGTGTGTGTAGTATAACCAAGAAATCCTAAGATTGTCTGGCAGCCACAAGTTCTAGTTCTTTAGCATTATGCACCACTAGGTGGCAAGCTAGACTCATTTTTTGAGGGAAGAAACATTTCAGAGGTGGCTTGCCATTACTGGCCTCTGCATCATGCCCCTGGTATTCCTTGGAGGTCACCCAGGCAAATACTAGCCAAGGCTGACCCTGCTTAGCATCTGAGATCTGATGAGATCGGGTAAGCCTGGGCTATCCAGGTCACCCCTGTGGTGTCACTAGAACACCCCATTCTCAGAGCACATTGTCGGTTTGTTTGTTTACCTGTAAAAAGCTGGTTCTGGTTTTTGTTGTTTTACACTTTAAGGTGCCGAATGACTGTTCAAATCAATAATCATTTCACATTTTACAAATTACATTTTAAGTCCACCTCAAGTACAGGGAAAGAACAAGGTAGACTGCTGAATCAGCATTCTGTTCTCTGATTAAAAATCCGTGAAATGGGTTCAGAATGCTCAAGGCGTGGGATGAGAAAGAGCAACATGCTGCAATTTCATGATACATTTATATGCAGCCAACGTTTCCATCATTGTCTCTCCTTTCCTACATCTCTCCCCACATCAAAATTTAATATGAGGGGAGAGGGGAGAGGAGGACCTGCACAGGGGAGAAGGGACCTGCACAGTTAACAGAAGAACATAAGTAGAGCTTGATGGATCAGACCAATAGTCCATCCAGTCCCCTCCAGAGCCCCTTTTTTTAATAACTGGGGTGGCACATGCTATTTTCTAATCATCTGGCATGCATGCCACTTTTAGAGACAAGTTACATATACCTGTGAGTAAATCAACAATTTTACATTTGAGTTCTTTAGGAACCCTCAGGTGAACACCATCTGGACCTGCAGACTTACTAGTTTTCCATTTGCCTATTAATCCTAGAACTTCATCTCTTGTCACCTCAATTTGACTCAGTTCTTCAGACCCTCTGGTGCAGGTATATGCCGCACATTTGCCAGAGAAAACAGATGCAAAGAATTCATTCAGTTTCTCTGCCATTTTCCTTAAGCTTTTATCCCTTCTTCAACCAGAGACCCATCTGTTTCTCTAGCCAGTATGGTGAGCCTGAAATATGTGAAGAAATGCTTATTCTTTGTCTTAATGTTTTTGGCCATCTGCTCCTCAAATTCTCTTTTTGCTCACCTTGATTGGTGAAATGTTCCACTTTTTAAACAAATCCCTTTTGCCTTTTATGGCTTCCTTGACTTGAGTCATTAAGTGCACAGACGTCCTTTCAGGTTTGGTGGCCAATCTGGGCCTCAGTTCTTCATACAGTATGGACCTCTCCCAATTCATTATACGTGTCTATGACCTCTCCAGCTCCACGTATGCCCAGTAATACCTCCTTTAACACTGTGGTTCTGCTACTGAAAAAAGAGTCTGAAGGCCTTGATAACTCAGGTTCTGATGGAGATGTATTCACAGTATCACCGTTTCCTACACATTAGTAACATTTCAGACAGCAACCAGAGAAGGAGGCAACTATCAGCTGGCTGTCTCTGTCAAGCTTCTGAATCAGAGCATCCCCAGAAGCTTCTTTCGGTTGCTTCCGTAACCAGGCTTCCTCTCAGGAGAGCTGTAGCTGCCTTCCATGTCAGCCCTACAGCTCACATTGATGCTCCATTCCATCCTCACCCATTTAGATCTTGGTAAAGATGCTGAGCTGCAGACCGGAAGGTCTATAGTTTGGTCGGTCGAGACCCTAGTGCCACGTGAGAGCTCCCATCTCTGGCCCCAGCTCCTACCGTCCAAGCAGTTTGAAAGCAAGAAATTGCAAGTAGATAACTCGGTACCGCTTCGGTGGGAAGGTAAAAGCATTCTGTGCGCCTCAGCGTTTAGTCATGCTGGCTCTTTGGACCACGGAAACATCTTCGGACAGCGCTGGCTCTTTGGCTTGGAAACAGAGATGAGCAACGCCCCCTAGAGTCGGATTTGACTAGCTTTTGAGCAAGGGAAACCTTTACCTTTACTAGATCTGCTACAAAGCTGTAAGGTGCTATGTCACTTCCGAACAACCCATATTTACTGGTGGACCAACCATGCCGTGGAGCCACCGTCCAAACCCTCTCCCCCGTATTTCATGAAAATATATATCTATCCAGGACAATGAATGTTAAGTGAAACAGCTTTACAGGAAATAGTTTTATAGGAGGTACTGCTGCATAAATCGTTTAGTGTAATACAGAAGAAAATAATCTGAGGGATTGTTATCATTTTTTTAAAAAGACTTTGTCCTGGTATTAAGACTAAAAGCCAGCCAGTTCTGCATTCTATTAAGGCATTCTGCCAAAATGTTATAGCTACAGGATCCTGAATAATGAAACAGGTAAATGGCTAAAAGACTTTCAAATATTTACTTTCAGATACTTCACACAATGACTGTATAGTCTCACATCTATGAATAACTTGGCTGAGTTCAGACTGGCAGTTTGGCCCGATATAGACACGTTTCGGAAACGTTTCTCGAACAGATTAAAGGGGCCGTTCACACAGGCACAACTATCTGGCGTTCCCCAGCGGTACTCAGCCCATCTTCTAACGCTTCCCTCCCGAGTTTAAAAAGTACCTGGTAAAAGTGGTAGCAAACCCTGGAGAGCGCGTTCATCCCACTTCCCGGAAGTGCAAATGCCGAAAGCCACAATGCACATAAGTGCCTATCACCAGATTACCAAAAAGAAAGCCGCATCTTACAGCCGTGTCTCTGCCAGGGGCGGGCCAACAGTGCAAACGCTCCCTTGCGCCTCCTCCCCGGTATGCTCCCGCATCAGTCGGTGCAGTGTGACCGGGAATACCCAGAACAAATTGTTCCGAGTCTTTTTTGCCATGACTGCCTCGCGCTTCAAACTGCCAGTCTGAACTCAGCCCTTGTGTCTCCAAGGCTAGCCGTTCGGGAACAGATACAGAGTTCAAGTAAGAAAGATTCTTGCAGAACCTTAAAGACCAACAAACATACTATGACATCAATTCCTGTGAGCCGCAGCCCACGACATCAAATGCAAGAAGTCAACTGCAGTGCCCAAGCCATCGAGCATTTTTTACACCAGCTTGCTAGCTTAATACTAGAGGAACCGTTGTCCAGTGTGTGCGGCATTTTGCCTTTACGCAAGTGACAGTTTCTAAGGAGAAACATAGTCAGAAGCCCAAAGCAGCGTTACGTGTCCGTAAATCCACTGATTTCAATGGGCTTCAGGTGCCTCACTCAGAATCACAGTAGAAAAAAGATTGTAGGTGACGGTATAGGTTACAGAGCAAATCTGAAAAACAAGAAGCCTCAAAAGGAGATGCGGGGTGGTTTTCTCCCCCCCCCCTTTCTGTTTGCTTGTTAGTTAGTTAGTGGAGAACTTAAAAGCTTGCGCATTGTTTTGTGCCATTTTGGTTGGCCCTACTAAAAGGCATTAAAGAGCTTTTGTTTCCCAAATCAGGCTGTCCATCACACTACACACATCTATCTTGTTTAGCATACAATTATACAGGGACTTCGTTTACTTAGCGTAGCATTAAGCAGATAAGAATATGTAAGGTGTTGTGTCACTGGTGTTTTCTCTTTTCTTCCCATCAGCCACCTTTTCTTTTCTCTTTTTGCTTGACTTTCACACATAGCCAGTCTGGCTAGAAAAACAAAGTAAAGGAGACCCCTGCTGGAATGGCTGGGGAAGACTCCTCCGCTCCAGTCAAACTATTCCATCGAAACTTCAAACCCAGCGCTACACATCGGTTAGTTTCACTCTGCTAGGTTAGTAGTTTCCTATCCTCTCTGAGCATCTGACTACCTTGCAATCAGTTCTTACGCCTCCACTAAAAATGGAACACTGAGAAATAAATCTGACTTCATTTGCAGGTGAAATCAGGTGGGGTTGGAGTGAGGTCTTTAAAGGAGACAGACTCACTCTAGTCATAAAGTTTCTTGTGTGAGAGAAGGGACCGGAGAGCCTCTGCTGTCTCCTTCCAAGTTGAGTCACATAAGCAAGACTCTGCGTTCTTTTATTCCCAATTCCTCCAAATCATTATTCCTACTTCCTCTCCCTAAAAAAAGCACAGGGCCAACTTTTGGGCTCAGATAAACACATCCTGACAGACTGCATGGACTGATCAGGTGTACAAAAAGGGTGGTTAACCACGCAGTCCAAAACAGAGTTACATCCTTCCCAGCCCATAGACTTCAATGAGCTGAGAAGGGCTTATTTCTGTTTTGGACTGCACTGCAGGTATCTTAAAGGCTAATTCATGTAAAATAATGCAAAATGCGTTTTTGTCGCAACAGATACCCCCCAGCACATGATCCACTGTTAACTCCTCAAGAATAATGCAGTCATTAAAAAAGGCTCTTATCATCCTCAGCCAAGCTGAGTACATGAGAATGACCCCAGGGTCATGAAACAAGATAACCTAGACTTTGAGCAATAGTACACCTCAGAGATCCTCAGAACTTAACCAGCCAACTTTCACAAGCGCCACTGGGAGTCAAGACCTCACTGACAGACGATTCACACGACAGTGTGTGTCCTGCCTCCATTTAAAAAGTGGCGCGGGGGGGGGGGGGGCCGCAGAAAAGAGCCCGAAGTGGCGCTCACCTGTCGATACTGATCACGCAGAGGGTCATGATGGAGGCGGTGCAGCACATCACGTCCATGGCGATGAAGACGTTGCAGAAGGCCGTGCCGAACATCCACTCGCCGCCGATGAGGTCGGTCACGCTGACAAAGGGCATGACGGCCACGGCCACCGAGAGGTCGGCCAGGGCGAGCGAGACGATGAGATAGTTGGAGGGCTGCCGGAGCTTCTTGACGAAGCAGACGGAGATGACCACCAGGCAGTTGCCGGCGATGGTCAGCAGGGTGATGAGCGACAGGGCGGCCCCGATCACCACTTTCTCCACGTTGCCGTAGCTCAGGATCAGCAGGCACTGCGTCTCGTTGCCGCCGTCCGCGGGCGCGCCGAAGCCGCTGGGGCTGACCGAACTGGGGCCGTCGCTCCCGCCGGCCCCGGGGCTGGCCGTGACCCCCTGCAGGACGAGCTTCCCCAGGCGGGTCGGGTGCAAGGAGCCGGCGATCATCCCGCCGCCGCTCTCGCTGCCGCCGCCGCCGCCGCTGCCCAGC